ACTAGATGATAAGTTTCTATCCCTATGGCTGATATTAATGCAAGCACAGTGACGGCAACATTACTGGAAGGCTGGATTGCGCATTACGGTCTGCCTTCTGCAATAGCAACCGACCAAGGCCGACAATCCGAGCCAAAATTATTCAATGAACTTACGAGGCTATTTAATCTGTACACTTTAAAGTGCAGATCCAAGCAAAAGTGGACGGACTACCAGTGATGCTACACGCACTGAGAAACGCATACAAAAACGACATCAATATGACTCCTGCAGAAATGGTTTATGGCACGACACTTAGATTAGGTTAGTTTTTCGAAAGTTCCAGTAAAGGCATGTCCAATTCAGAATTCGTACAATTACTACGAGACGTAATGGAACAACTAAGACCATTACCTAAAAGAAACCACTCTATATCAAAAACATTTGTACAACCGGAGTTAAAAAATGTACTCATGTTTATCTACACAGTGACACTTTTCGACCAACTCAATGTACCGAACGATGCACCGTTTAAGTAAAGATTATATTAAGTGTATAATATGTATACGATATTGTAATAACAGAGTATACTGAACAAATATTTTAAATAAATTTCAAAAATAAATACCAATGTTTTTTATTTTATTCATTAAACATATTTACAGACAAATTTTACTTAACATATGCAATAGCGGCAGTAATAATTACTATTCCAAGAATTCTTAAAAGAAATTAATTAAATTAAATTAATTTATATTTTACATACATTTTATTTTTGTATATAAATTTTATTTTAAAAACACATTATTATGAAATCAAAGGTATGGACTTACCATGTTGATAGTTTAACAATAACTGAACTATGAAGTTCCTGCATTTGGCTTGTTTGAATAAGTTATTTTTGCTTTGTTTATATTAATGTAAAGATCGGTAGTTACAGGCTTCTTATTACTGCCATAACATGTGAACTTTACACACACACATTTCGGGTAAAAAATTTGTGTTTGTTTTAAAAAATTATTATACTAATTAAAGTTATTTATTCTTTTTATATATATGTCTGTGTTTAAAATTCATTTGAAAAAATTTATTATTTCTGTTTTTTAGGGTCAGCAGAAGAAAAATTTAATTACCAAAACATGTAAGTATCATTTGTATAGAAATTGACAAAATAAAAAAAAATAAAAAAATATAAAAAAAAATAAGAATAAATATAATAGATACAAATAAATTTAGTAAGTAAAAAATATGCATAACAGAAACAAAAAAATAGGCAATTTCAAAAATTAACTTTCTATTCGTTGAACTTGTATTTCCAAATAAAGCTGTAGTTTATAAGCTCGTTCTAATTTAAAGCACGGCAAATGCCTTGGTTGGTATCACTAATTAAATAAAAATAAGTGACAACAAAACCTGGAACTTGAGCATTGAAAGGTTGTGCAACCTTGGCTACTTGTGGATAAACGCGATTAGTCATCGCTTCTAATTTGACAGGCACGAGTTCTAAGCCTGGCACTTGCAGTCCGAACAAATTATATACGGACTATAAACTAATTAAATAAAATTCGATTATTTCCTAAGACCACTGATAAAGAGTACTTGGCAATACTCGAAACAGCGTTGTATGGTCAGCCCAATTTCAATAAATTAAATAAATTTTTGTCTTTGTGTTTTCTTTCTTTGCTATTCGAATCCGTCTAACTTTTAAATAGTTTCTTTCGCCATTAAGACACTCCACTATTGGCAAGAAAAAATTTGTATTAAATAAATTTATTATTTATAGCATTTCTTTTCAATTTAGATAACCAGCAAAAATAGCATATAGCAAAGCTTTACCGCCATTTAAGAAGCTGTCAGTAAGGACCACAAATTCAAGGCTTCGAGCCAACGCCATCGAACCAGTACCAGTAGGCACTACCACCGATGCAGCCGTAACAATACCAACTGCAGCCTTAACATCACCAGCTGCAGCCGCAACACAATCTGCAGTAATACCTGCTCTAACCGCAACAACCTGCTGTTTTTCATGCTGATTGGTTTAACGTGGTATGTGATTGATTGGAATTGTTTCGTTATTCTTCCCTCAAGTTGAATAGTCTTAGAATATATTATACAATCTAGTTCAAAACTACTTCTTCACGTTCAATATGACAAGTTACATGAATTGTCGTTAAATTTGGTGTAATGAATATCCAAGCATTGAGCGTTCAAAGCTTTTTCCAATATTGTTGTATAACTTGATATCTTTTTGACGGACAGTTATCGAATGTTAATTTATTATACAATTGCTTAAATAGAAAATTGGAACTCTCGTCAATGTTGTGAAATATTGTTGGGTGAAGTAACCTAGTAACATTATTCAGCCAAATGTGGATTTTAACAATTCGATTTCTTGATATACCTATATTATCGTCAACTCTTACTGGAATCATAATGAATCTAATGATTTCATATTCTTCTATCGGGCTAATTGTGAAATAACCATAAATTATGATGTTGTCAGTATCTCGAACATATTCGAACGATTTCTTTCATCGTTTATTAGCCAATTTGGATCATGCCACCATTATGTATTTGAAATAAGATTGTCACCACACACTCCCCTTGATGGAATATCTACTGGATTATCCTTACCTGGAACAAATCTAATTTGCCCCTTAAACGTATCCTGAATGTACGATATTCTGTTTGCTACAAACGTAGTCCATCTATTTGAGTATTGTTTTAGCCAATTTAATACAACATTTGGATCTGATCATGCAATAATTTTACTATAGGTAATTTTGTTACTTTTCTGCATGTAATTAATTAACTTTGTCAATAGCACAGCTGCACATAACTTCAATCGAATGAGACCTGCTTAATAGGTGCAACTTTTGTTTTTGATGCTAATAAAGATATTGTAACCTTTTTTGCATTGATAAGCTTTGTATATGGGCCATTCTTTTACAAACCGGACGGATTTTGGCAAAATATGACCTCATGATCTCCGATTTAGCTGAAATCTTTTATGAGCTCCTTTCATAAAATAAGAAGACCCGTATCTCGGGAAAAAATTTTGTGAATTTTTTTCTAGGAGATATGGACCCATGGGGTTTTGAGAACTGGCATAGTAGACACATTTTCAAATGGCTATATCTCAAGTTCTATAAAAGGTAGAAACTTGAAGTTTACAGCGTTTCAAAGATAATTGATTGAACTTTTATAAAATTGTTTAAACAATTAAATTTGTTTATATTTAAGTACTAATATTAACTATTAAATTTCAAAAAAAAATTTTTCTTAAAATACATCCCCTGGGATTCCATTTTTTATGTTTTATTTAGATTCAGTTTTAAATTTTACTACGAAATAAAAATTTTTAGGATGCGGTTATTTTTTGAAATTTTTTAATATTTTTTTTTCTCCCGCAAAACACATCAAGCACATGCGTACTACATTTTCATTGAATGTATTTTCAAAGAATATACTACATATATTCTTATATAATATTTTTGATTTCGATTAGTAATAAAATTCTACATAAAACTCAAAAATTTCAGGACAATATTGTAATTAGAAGTACTTTTAAAAATTTATTTATCCTTCATATCACACCAAATACATACACACGATTTTTCAGTAAAAAAAAAAAAGGCATATATCACAAAAATTTTTTTTTTAGTTTTGATTCAAATTAATATATAAATTCTATTTCAAAAATAAATATTTCGACTATGATATTCATTTTAGAAGTAATTAAAAAAAATTAATTAATCAGGTGTCCTTCACGTTACTCATACGCACCAAAGTAACATGAAATCAATTTTCGAAGGAAAACTATACAAAAATGTTTACTTTTTATTCCTGAATTGAGTTTATCATTAAATTCTACATAAAAATTAAACTTTTAAGGACGTTAGTATTCTCAAAAGTATTTTTATTGAATAAATAAATCACAAATTTAAAATTTTTAAAATTCCTGCGGATAACTCTAAGAATAGCGATGAAGAAGATGACTCGCATTAATTTTAAAAAATCTGCAGGAAAATTTTAATGGCACAGCAGATAGAACTATGAAAATAAAAATAGTGGGTGTGATACATAATTAGTCTATCCGAAAGGGTCACGACTTACTTCTCAAACGCTACAAAATGTATGACTACTGTTGCTAAAAAACTTACTTCGGAGAAATAAATCTTAGAAGACTTAAATCCAAAAAGCCACCGCTAGAAAAATATGAAACCAATAGAATTTAAACTTTTTACGAATGTGAAGAAAACAGTCAAGTAATGGGAAAAAAATCTGCGTATCCTTACAAATTGACGGATAAAGAACACAAATGCGAAAATGGTCCATTCTAAACAATTTGAAGGAGTTACATACACCTTTCAAACTCAACCATCCAGACCTGTAATGTAGTTTTTCAAAATTTGCATCTTTACGACCACTGCGTTCTTGCAGGAGCAAGCGGCACACATTCAGTTTGTGTGTGCTCCATACACGAAAACGTACGATTAATGGTAGATGGAGTGAATATAAAAGCACTGACTGCATGTAGTAGAAAGCCGATAAATAACTATAGAATGTTTTCTAGGAACCTGCGCCAAATTTCTTAGAACTGAAAATATCAATAAACAACTTCTGGAGATATTTGATGACAACATGATTGACACCGTTAAATACAAACAATGGGATCGTCAAGAGAGAAGCACATTAAAAACGTTGATATCCCAAATAGACGAATATTTGTAATCCTTAACAGATGGTTTAGACAAATTGCTGTTGCATTCCTTTTTTGTTAAAAAACAGGCAGAGTTTTTAAATGATAAGAAAAGCAACTTAACAAAAACTGAATGCATAGTGATGGAGCTTCAAGCGTTTTTGAAGCCACTGCGAAATAAACGAAAAACGAGGACACACAAAAGAAGCAGAACCGACTCGTTCAAGTTTCACACTAATACAATTATAGGGTTGCCAAGTGCAACCAAAAATAAAGTATTAAAAAATTAAATATTTTGTATAAAATAATAGCAATCATTTCACGAACATTCTCCCCCCATTGGAACGGTCGCGTTCCAAGAGGGATCATTTACAGGCAAGATGCAAAGCTTTGTCACGGCACGTCTGAAAACCCCATTTTTTGTACGCACTACCACAACACGTACGACACCATCGGGACCAGGTATAATTTCAATAACTCTACCTAGTAACCAGCGCAGTGGTGGAAGATTATCATCCTTTAAAAGCACTATTGCACCGAGAGACATATTAGGAGTAGAGCTTCGCCACTTTATTCGTTCTTGTAACAATGTAAGATACTCAGTGCTCCAACGTTTCCAAAAAACTTGTTGTATGTGTGAGATACGCTGCCAATTATCAAGTCGATTGAAATTCAAGATTGTTAGGTCAGGCTCAATGATAGATGTTAATGGAGCACCAATTAGAAAGTGGGCAGGTGTGAGAACATCAAGATCTTCGGGACACTCTGAAAGTGGGAAGAGCGGACGCGAGTTAATGATGGCAGCAATTTGACAAACCAGTGTGCGTAGTTCATCAAAATCTAAAATTGTTAGACCAATTGCTCGGCAGAAGTGCCATTTCGCTGTTTTTATGGCAGCTTCCCACAGGCCACCAAAATGTGGCGAACCAGGAGGTATGAACTTCCATTCAATGCTGTCACTAAGACATTGCTGTTGTAGCTGCTCACGATGTTTTTGAGAGAAGAAAAGTCTTCTAAGTTCGGCCAGTTGATTTTTGGCACCGCAAAAATTTATAGCATTATCTGACCAAATAATTTTAGGTTTGCCACGAGTTGAAACGAAACGTTGTAGTGCTGCTAGAAATGCTGACGTTGTTAAATTTTTGACTAATTCTAAGTGGACAGCTTTGGTTGCAAAGCAAATGAATAAGCAAACATAGCATTTGATTGGAGACTTATTGCGAGTTTCGGCCTTGTAATAGAAAGGACCACAAAAGTCCGTGCCAGTAATGACGAAAGCACGAGTAGGATGAACACGATCCTTAGGTAATTGTCCCATGATATGCTTTGCAGTTGTTGGTTTGGCTCGAAAACATATAATACATTGGTTAATGACTTTTGATACTAGCTTTCTACCTCCTATCGGCCAGTACTGAAGACGCATTGAAGCAAGCAAAGACTGTGGACCTGCATGCAGCATTTTGCGATGAAAATAATTAATGATGGAAGAAGTGAGCGGATGATGCTTGGGCAATATAATTGGATGCTGTGCATTAAAGTCTAGGTTGGAGTTTTTTAATCGACCACCAACGCGAATCAGGCCATGATCATCTAAAAAAGGTGATAAAGAAAATAACTTACTTGAGCAGCTGATTGGTTTTTTGCATTCCAAGTTGTGATAATCATTACATAAATTCACCTTCTGAACCATTCGAATTAATATGACAGTACCTTGCAGTATGTTGTTAGTTGTTAAGATAGCAGATCGGTCTTTGGTAATGAATTTGTGAATATACCCAAATACACGTTGCAATTTATAAAAGGTGTTGATGAATTTACAATTAACTGAAATATCAGTTATTTTTACGGTTGAAACAAGAATAGTCTTACGCCTTTCAGGCAAGTCATGCTGGAGGCAAAAAGTTGCAGGCCAAGTATTTCGATTGCCAAGCAAAAACGGTGGTCCACATTTCCAAAGTGATGAAGTTAAGAGTTCGTCTGGAGTCGCTCCTCTTGATAAAATGTCGGCAGGATTTAAATCGGTGGGAACATGATGCCATATCATGCCTTTAGTCATATGCTGAATTTTGCTCACTCGGTTGGCCACGAATACGTTGAAAGTAGACGGCTCAGATCTGATTCAAGATAATACTATAGATGAGTCAGACCAACAATGAAATTCAGCATTAAATATATTTAGCATTGAGATTTGATGAATTAGTTGAGCTAATAAGGCTGCGGCACATAATTCCAATTTTGGCACTGTCAGTGTTTTTAAAGGTGCTACTCGAGACTTTGAACAAAGTAAATTAGCAGATGTAGAACTTCCGAACCGTGAGATTACATAGATGCAAACACCATATGCATTCATACTAGCGTCACAAAAGGCATGTAGTTCGAGTGCTGCATTAAGTAAAGAGACATAACGTGGGAATTCCAATTTTTGAGTTATATGTAGACGATTGTAGAGATCAGTCCATGCGGTGTGCAGTTGATTTGGAAGGCTCTCGTCCCAATCTAGTGTATGCTTCCACAAACACTGTAAAAATATTTTTGCCTTTGATATCAAAGGACCAACAAGACCAAGAGGGTCATAAAATCGTGCAATAACAGAAAGCACAGAACGCTTTGTAACACGCTTTGAATCCTGACAAGGAACAAAGGTGAATAAGAATTTATCTTCGGTTGGATTCCAGATTAGACCAAGGGTTTTTGTGAACTCACTGCCATCATCGAAATTGAGCAATGGCTCTCTGTCGGCTTCAGGAATGTCATCAAGAGCAACTAATTGATTCGAACACCATTTTCTAAGTTTAAAATTGCCTTTATTGAGCAATGCAGAAGTTTGTCTTACAATGTCTTGAACATCATTAATGCAATTACCACCGGAAATTAAGTCATCAACATAAAAATCTCGAAGAGTAATTTTGGAACCAATAGGAAAATTTGATGATTCATCAACCGCTAATTGTTGCATAGCTCGAACAGCCAGGAAAGCCGCAGGCTTTGTGCCGTAAGTGACAGTATCAAGTTTATATACCTTCAGTGGTTCCTGCAGGTCATCTCTCCAAAGAATACATTGTAGAAAAGTATCTGGAGGTGTGATGCGAACACAACGGTACATTTTGCAAATGTCTGCAGTTACTGCAATAGGAAAATAACGAAAGCGAATAAATAAATCAATAAGATTTGGTTGAATTGTAGGACCGGCCATTAATATGTCATTTAAAGAGTACCCAGTTGATGTAACTGCTGAACCATCAAATACAACACGAAGCTTTGTAGAAGAACTGGATTCCTTGATAACGCAATGATGTGGCAAAAAATACTTGGGATGACTTAATTCTTCATCAGTCAATAGTGACATGTGATTAAGATGCAAATACTCCTTTATAAATGCACTATATTGCGACTTTAGATCAGTATTTCGTTGTAGTTTACGCTCCAGGTTTTGAAAACGGCGTACAGCTTGTTGATATGAGTCACCAAGCGATTGAACATCTAATTTGATTGGTAACCGAACTGAGTATTCACCAGTTACTAAACGAGAAAAATGTGCTTGAAAATGGTCTTGACAATCTAAATGCTCTTTTGTAATTTTGATTATAGGATCGAAACAACTTTCTAATTCCCAGAATTTTTTCACTTGTTGATCCAAAGGGTGATACTGATCATTCGAATTTAATTCACCTTTAAATGTGACTAGTGAAGATGATGATGTTGTAGAATATGGACATCCTCCTGAAACTACCCAACCAAGAAGGGTTTTTTGTAACACTGGTAATCGAGGAGCTAAGCGGATTTGTCCTATACACAGGAGATCAAAGAAGAGAGTTGCACCAATCAGAACATTAATTCTTTGAGAGTTATAAAAGTTTGGATCGGCAAGTGGAAGATTGTTTGGAATACTCCAATCAGCTATGTTGACGCTTGTGCTCGGATGCTGATTGGTTATTTTGGGAGCAATCACTGCAGTGATGTTAGCGGAATAATCGCCAAAACGGGATTATATTAATAGCTCAGCAGTGCTATCAGCGACAAAGTCTCCATCCGCGATACCGGATACTAATGTGACTGATTTCGTAGTTTTAAGCTTAAGTGTGTTGGCGAATGCTCTTGTGATAAAATGCAGTTGTGATGCTGAATCCAAAAGAGCACGACATGGTACAAAAACACCAGCATGATTTTTTACTAATATGACAGCAGTTGGCAGAAGTATGCATTCATTTAAAGGATAATTTTGGCTTTGTTGTGAAGCGTTTGTGGAAACCAAGGAAGACTGCACATTTATTTTCGTGCTATTTATTTGATTATCACTCGGCACTGTATCTGAAAATAAGGGAAAACTATTACATTTGCATTATTACTCAAATACAAAAGAGTGTGGTGAGTTCCTGAGCAAACACGACAACGCGACGACTTGCATTGTTTTAAATAGTGTCCCTTCTTCAAACAGTTTAAACAAAGGCCTAGTTTTCTAGATTCAACTAAACGAACCTTTGGAGATAAATTGGCAAATTTAGAACATGTGTAAATAGAGTGAGTCTCGTTGTCACAAAATGTACAGCCATTTGAGCTTGTTGTTATGAACCCCCTTTTTACCATTGAAGAATGATTGACTTGTTTGTTCTTGATATGTGCATTAATTTTTGTGACGTAATTGATATGCTCCAATGTTTTACATCTGTTGTCAATGAAATCTGCCATTTGATCCCAAGTGGGTATTGTATCAATTGAAGCTTTCTCTTCCCATTTTGCTTGAGATGCAATATCTAGTCTTTGCGAAACGAGATGTATTATTAGACAATCAGCAATTTGCTCCTTGCTGCCCAGCGTGGTCAATGCATGTAGATGTGAATTGATTTTATCACTAAGACATCGAAGGTCACTAACAGCATTTGGTTCGACACGTCGCAAACCAAATATCTCCTTAATGTGTGCCTGAAAAATCAATCTCTTGTTGTCAAATCTTTTAGAAAGTATATGAAGTGACTTAGCATAGTTAGTGTCACTAATTTCGAGTGACTTTATAGCATCCAGCGCTGAGCCTTTTAAACAAGATCGCAAATGTTGAAGCTTTTCAAGATTGCTAAGTTCAGTGCTATCATCCACAATAGTTCCAAACATTGAAATAAAATGCGGCCAATCAATAATATTACCACTAAAAGTGGGAAGTTGAAGCTCAGGCAGCCTTGAGCGCGAATACTTTACGTTAATAGAAGGCATTTCGTCATTTGCCAGAAACTTACTTGTGGAATTTCTAATATTTGTCTGTCGACTAGACAACTCTATCATTACTGCAGATTTTATGTTAAAGCAAGTTTGTTCAAAATTACCTCGCACATCACTTTCCAGCTCAGTAAAGTCTTCCTGTTCAAGACTCGATTGAGCTTCATCAAACTTAGTGTTGAGTTGCTGCAGAGAGTCAACAAGAAGTTGTAGTTGCACTTCGTGACAATTATTTAAAAAATCGGAAGATAGCTTTATTTCTAAATCATTTAATTGCCTCAAAAGATGAGAACATTTTAATTTCAAAAAAGTGGGTGCATTATTTTTCTCACCTTCCATTGTTAAAATTAATCAAACAGCAATAAAGAAATTGATTAATGCAGTGCTGCCGACGCAGCAATGTACTGCAACCGAAATGTCTAACAATATATTTGAAAACTGTAAAGGTAATGCTGCCGACGCAGCAATGTACCGCACGAAATGTTCAACGGTAGTTCCACAAAATATTTTATTAAAAAATTTGAACAATATTTAAAAAATATTTTCACTAAAGATTGGTTAATGCAGTGCTGCCGACGCAGCAATGTACTACAACCGAAATGTCTAACGATATATTTGAAAACTGTAAAGCAATGCTGCCGACGCAGCAATGTACCGCACGAAATGTTCAACGGTAGTTCCACAAAATATTTTATTAAGAAATTTGAACAATATTTAAAAAATATTTTCACTAAAGATTGGTTAATGCAGTGCTGCCGACGCAGCAATGTACTGCAACCGAAATGTCTAACAATATATTTGAAAACTGTAAAAGCAATGCTGCCGACGCAGCAATGTACCGCACGAAATGTTCAACGGTAGTTCCACAAAATATTTTATTAAAAAATTTGAACAATATTTAAAAAATATTTTCACTAAAGATTGGTTAATGCAGTGCTGCCGACGCAGCAATGTACTACAACCGAAATGTCTAACGATATATTTGAAAACTGTAAAGCAATGCTGCCGACGCAGCAATGTACCGCACGAAATGTTCAACGGTAATTCCACAAAATATTTTATTAAAAAATTTGAACAATATTTAAAAAATATTTTCACTAAAGATTGGTTAATGCAGTGCTGCCGACGCAGCAATGTACTGCAACCGAAATGTCTAAGAAATATATTTGTCAAAATAACTATCACGTCGGGGTCACCAAATGATGGAGCTTCAAGCGTTTTTGAAGCCACTGCGAAATAAACGAAAAACGAGGACACACAAAAGAAGCAGAACCGACTCGTTCAAGTTTCACACAAATAATAAATCTTTATTGAATTCAAAAAAAAATATAATACAATTATAGGGTTGCCAAGTGCAACCAAAAATAAAGTATTAAAAAATTAAATATTTTGTATAAAATAATAGCAATCATTTCACGAACACATAGTTTTGCGTGATTTTTCCGAAAGTTATGCTTTTGTTGTTCAAAACTCTGTTTAAGGCATTCACTGGAATAATAATAAGGCAACAATTCATATTTTTGTAATATACCACCGTCTTGAAAATAAAAAACTACAAATAAAAAATTTTGTTTGCATATCTGACTGTTTACATCACAACACAACTGCTGTACATTTGTTCCAGAAATACGCTATCATATTCATTAAAAAAAATAGTACGGATATTAAAAAAAACTATTTAGTTTTCCGATGGATCGGGTTCACAATATAAAAATAAAAAAAATTTTATTAATTTAACTCATCACAAAGCGGACTTTGGTTTGGAAGCAGAATGACACTTTTTTCCAACGACACACGGCAAAGAACCATGCGACGGCTTAGCTGGTACCTTAGAGAGGAATGCTGCAA